CCCAGCTGGCCCCGGCCCCTGCCACCGTGACAGGTGGGCGGGCACAGTCTGTAGCCCTGCACGTGGCAGCCGGGCGGGGAGCCCCGCGGTGGTGCCCACACTGTGGGCTGCCGGGCACTCAGTGGCATGAAGGGAGGGGAGGGGCGGGAGGGGAGGCTGAGTGGGCTTTCCAGGACAGGCATGTGGGAAGGGCCCTGTGCCAGGCAGAGGTGGGCCAGGGGGCGGGGACGCTGTCAGGGGAGCTGGGTCGCGGGGCCTCTGAAGGCTGGTGAGGACGGATCTGGGAGCCTAGATAGCCAGCTCCGGGCGCGGCAGGTCCGGCAGCGCCTCGGGCAGAGCTGCCTCCCATGGCCCAGGGCTGTGCTGAGCCCCGGCCTGACCCCTGCCCAGCCCTCTCCCCATCAGCTCAACTGCAGGAATTGCATCTTCCAAAAGCCTGGCCTTCGTGCGTAACCTTCTCCCCGGGGTCTTGTCTTGCGTGGGCCAGGCCCCTCCCGACCGAGCCCAGAATTACCCCCCTCCCCCCAGGGTGGACGGCCACCGTGTTACTTTGCTGGGGTGGCAAATACCACAGCCTGCGTGGCTCGACGGTCAAACCGTTTCCTCTCGGATCCAGCTCCCAGAGGCTGGAGGCCCGAGCTCAGTGCCGGCAGGTCGGGTTTCCGCTCAGGCCGCTTCTCTTCACACGGCTCCCTCTGTGCTCGGGCGCCCCGGCCCCTGCACGCCCCGACTTCCTCGTGTAAGGACCCAGTCCAGTTGGATGGGGACCCGCCCCATGACCTCACTTTATCGTCACCACCTCTTTGAAGGCCTGGTCTCCAAATACAGTCACATTCTGAGGGCCCGGGGGTGAGGGTTTCAACAGGTGAATTTTAGGGGAAGCAACTCAGCCCATAACAGCACTGAGAACCCGGGCCTGGCCTCTGAGCTGGGAGTGAGGAGGGCGAGGGTTCCGCCTCAGGCCCCCAGGGGCCCCGGTGTTTTATCTCTCAGGCCCCCACTCAGACTCCAGGACCCCACAGGCGTTAGTGGCCCCCACTGAATAACCCAGTGGGGCAAGGAGCCCGGCCAGGGAGGCCGCAGAGGCCGGGGCAGGGAGGCGGGCGTCCTGGGCCCCTGCCCACCGCCCCTCCCTGCCATCGTCCTTCCCACACAGCTCTGGCTTCCGGATAAATTTCACGTCCACATTTCTGGAGCCGCAGAGCAGCAGCGTGGGAGGGAGGAGGCCGGCGGGCAGACC